TACTTAAACATTTTTTTATATCAACATTTTAATTTAAAATTTGGACGAAATTACATGATTACAACATAAAGAATAACGATTTTAGTTATTATGTGTTGTAGTTTAAAAATATTATTCGTGATTACTTGAAACTTTTAGTTTTAAGTATTATTATATTATTTTATACATTCAATGTCATTTTCAAATGAAATGTTATCCTAAAAAATTAATTCAACCTACTTTATTACAAATAGAATTGTGATTTAATTTCTTTGTTTTTGGACAATATACATTATTGTGACCCACGCAATTATAGATATTATACCATAATACTAAATACTGTTTAAAATGTAGTTTTTTGTTGTTATTATAATTATCAGCAATGTTCGAACTGTGAGAAGTGGGGGGGGGGGGGCTAGTGTGGAGTTCCTCTTCTTCTTAAAAAAAAAATGTACCTATGCGTATCAATTCTAATTGAAGGAGACTGTGCAAAAACAAGGCAAATCATTTTTCATCAAAAATCCTGTTTAGATAATAATTGATGAAGAAATTACGATTTTATCTTTGCAAGAACGACGCAGATCCAACAACCTGTATAGGGAATCTAACGTACTTGAAGCTGTCTGGTTTTTTTATTATCTAGTTTTTCACCAGATATCAAGATCCGAAATAATATTATAAAACACAAATAGGTCCAAAAATTAAAATTAAAATTGTTAATTTTTATTTTTTAAAAATTTTTGAAAAATGAAATTGTCTGGTTTTTGTCTGGCTCCTTCAAATATATATCGTAATTACCATTTAATAATACGTTTAAATATTCAGGTGAGCACTTTTTTCTTAACAATTTTTTAATCCAATTTTTTTCCCAACTCAAACACTAGTTATTCGTTATTTTATTTTGCATAACTAACGATAAAATAAAAATAAATTATTACTGCACCCGAACGGAATTTGTCGAGAACAGTGACAAGTGACAACTCAATAACAACAATAACTCATGGTTCATACAGCAATGTTAAAATGCCAAAATAATTTTAAAACAAGAATATATATATATTGATTAATACTTTTTATTTCCTGTAGGTGGAATAGAAATAAGTCATGAGAATGTCACTTTACAATATTCAATTTCATACATGGTATTTAAAAGTTTAGGTAGTTTATTTTTCTGAAAATGAAAAAATATATACGATGTATTATAATATATTTATAGTTATATTATCGTAATTGAAAACTGATCAGCTTAAAAAAAACCCGTTTTAAACATCCTGAATATAAAAAAAAAAATTATTTTCAGTCATTTCAACGTTTCAAGGAAACAATTTTTATTAGAAAAAATTATAAGCATAGAAATTTCAATTTACGTAAAAAAATGTGGCCATTAAATAAGTTCTTACATCGTGTTAGTATGGCGTTCAAAGCATTTTTTTTAAATTTAAGATTTGGATACAGAATATATAATATGTAATAAAATAGAAAAAAATAGAGAAGGTAAGGGGTTAGGGAGGTGTTAGGCTTGAAATATAAATAAAAGAAAGATTTATTTCCGGAACTACCTTAGTGCTGTATTAGGTATTAATAATAAAAGCTATTTGTGATTCATACGGTGATTTCTATTTTACTAATCCATAATATTTGATCATAATACATGGGTACTGGAAATATTCGTCTCGTCATTTATTAATATTATAAAGGATATTATTTATATATTACAAATAATACACGAATGACGAATACATTATACATTTATACATCTATAAAAAATTGTTAATATAAAACGCTTACAGAACTGTGTATATTTATATTTTAATAATATTTATTGACTGGTAATATGCACTCGTCTCGCTTCTTTCGTATTTTCGGCACAGGATAGTCCTGTGTATAATTTATTATTGTAAATTCAAAAACTGCAGAGGTAGGTAATTCATTGCGTTTTAAAATAAATTCTCGAAAGAGGTTCAGCGACGTTCACGTGAATACGTTTTGTGATGGTTGGGAGGGCGAGGAAAAAATGTAACCTGTATGTATGCGACATAGTAGTTTCAAGGTATTTATATTATTACCAAAGAAAGAAAAAGGGTCATTACAGTGAACGAAAAAGTAATTTTAAGTGAGGCTCAAGTCCACCAATTCCACTAGGTATCAAATATTATACAAGTTTAAAACCACTACAACTGAAGTGGTAGCTCTGTCATGACATTGTGGCAGCAACATGAGGACTATTATGTATAGTCTCATTACACTGTTTATTTGGTCTCAAAACACTATCGTTTTCAACTAACATCATGAACCCGGTTTAACAAGACGATATGGTGAGATCTGTGACTAGATTTAATGACCATAATATCTTGTGTGATATACAATAATTATTAAATAATATAGAGTAGGTAGGTATAGTTGTACTGTATACAAATATAAAAGTGCATATACTTCCGCTACGCGTGTGTTTACACTGCAAGGCTAGGATTTATATGCATATTGATATGTTTTTTTTTGCAACTTCTGAAATGCTTTTATCAGTAACTTCCAAGATTCAGCTCATATGTGGAGGCAAATGGCTGGTGATGTTTGTTTTTCCATCATATTTTTACATTATATCTATTGAATAAAGTGCATATTAATGCATATTATTGCAATATTTCAACTACAAAAACATGGACATTTCATGTTTTATGGTATATTATATTTTGTTACAAACATTTTATCGCTATACAAAAATATCCAACAAATCAAAAAAATGGGAAAGAAAAATATTTAGGACTATAATCTGTGTTTATAAATTAATATTTTAAATTGCAATAATCTGAAAATGTCCAAAATCTAACTCCTGGGGAAGTAACAACATTTAGTTGCCCGAAAATTACGTCGTATGTCAAATGATGATAATTGATTTATGTAATATGCATTAAATTATAGCGTTTACAATTTGTAAACAATATTTTTGTAGATTTTAGAACTTAAAAAAAAAATTTGTTTATATTACAAGTGTTTATTTAATTATATTTTTTTGGTATATATTGGCATATTTTTGCATATTTTTAATAAACGTAAATAATGCAGATTTCATCATTTTTTTTTCTATTTAAATCTTAATCCTAATTAAATACAATATCACCAGTATGTGAAATACGTTCTACCTATGATGAAATAACAAATCTTTTTTATGAATATGAACAGTAATATTACTGCTATTAATTTTTTTTAAATACATAACATTATTCCACGTGTAACTGAATCTCTTCCTTTTCGGAATTTAACATTTCCATATTTTTTTTGTATATATTTGAATTTGTTTGATAATTTGCAGTTCGTATTTTATTTGTGTCCGTAAAAGTTATTCAATTTTTTTGTATCACGAGGGGATGGGTGCAGAAATGTTTTCCGGGCACCACTGTTGTACATGTCCTTGAAAAGGTCGGTAAACTATGAGTGAATGTTTTCAAAAATGTATTGTAAATTGTATATTGTGTACTCAAACTTGTAGTTTGATGTCTTTGTCCTCGAGTACACATCTTAAGTTGATGTTGTTGATCACATACCTATTTGATTTTAATTCAAATTGTCATAGGTTTTTGTAACTTTCTTGCAAAACTATTGGAAAGTTCTTAAAATAGTTTAATTAAGGCACTGGTTCAAGTTTGGAGCATTCTGTGTTCAAAACTCATTTTTACTTAATTTTGTTTTCACACTCTAAATTAAATAATAAATTTAGCACCACATATCCACATAAATAGTTACAAAGAAATCTACTTTGCAATTTGGCACTCCTTTACAACAATTTGATTTGTAGTAGGTATATCTAATTAAATAAATTATATTTTTGAAATTTATAGGATTTAACAAAGAAAATTTAAAAAATTTAGAATCCGTATTTTTGTCGAAGTTCTTCCAATGAGAAGATTTATGCATTTTTTCTCTCTATTCTTATCACATTGGCTTAATGTTCATTCCACGAATAGATTGTGTATTAAAAGAAAATATTTGTATGCATAATATTCATTCACAGTTAAAACACTTTTATTTTTTAAATTATTCTTACAGCATCAACTGCGTAGTTATTAGCCGAGGTACATTGTTAACATTATAATTACATTGTATATTTATACACTGCACTGTAGATGCTGAGAATCGTATTCCGAAAACAACGATCTATAATTTGATTTTAATTTAACACATCTGTTACAGCAGAGTGATTTTTTTCATTTTGAACTTAATGATTTTTATAATTTGTTTGATATTCTTTTCTTAAAATTATATTGACAGCCAATCATTATAGGTACTTATTTAAATAAATTTGTTTTTTGTATGAGGTATTTTTCATCCAAAAACAAATTTGAAGTGTATTTAGGGACTAAAATTACGAATTAGGATTTTGTAATATAATTCAAAACAACACATAAGTAACATTTAAGTCTATTGTTTGCATAATTGTCTGCATAATTGTAGAGCTATCATAGAATTCCTACTAGCAACTAATAATAATAAAAAAGAAGTTCATCTTTTTCAGTATTTGTCTCAATTATACAAACTAGAAAATTATAATTATAAATATATAGGTTAATATTTCATTTTATTTATTTTATTATATTTTCCAAAAATAATTTTTATTTATTTATACAAATTATTAATATGTATATAAGTATATTATTTTTAAAATGAAGAAAGAAAGAAAAATATATTGTTTATTTTCCATAAATTAATCTAAGTAGGCACTTTTAACAATACTAATTATAATAGGTACTTAAGTTTTAATTTAGTAAATTGAGATATAAAAATAATTATGAAAAATTGATAAGCGATAATAAGACACCCGCCAACCACTGTGTATCATAATGGTCGGTTTTGCATTTGTGATCTCGAAAAAAAATCCAAATTCATACTTAACATTACCTTGACCGAGTAAGCCAGTTGTACAGAATGTGAGGATTAGGAAGTCGTTCCACGGCCAACGATCTCCAATAGGAACATTTGGCGCTGAACTCAAGGACAAAAATAAATAATATGAGGACGAGCACGACAGAATTGTTTTCAGACGTTACTCGTAGTCCAAAGTATGCACAAGTGCTCAGTCCTTTACGGCTGTGTAGTGTGATATCTTTTTTTTCAAATCATAAGTAAATCGTAGTTGAGTTTTTTTATATAATAATTTTTTACTCAAATTTCGTTTACTTAAAATTTTTAGTGAATCGTTTTAGAACCATTTATTAACATATTGTTAGAGTTGGATGAAAACGTGAAATCACTTAATTATCGTAATATTTAAAATAATCCCAAAGTTTTTTATACCCATACAGAAAAATGGCTTTAGATCTACATCGAAAAAATGAATTCAAGAAATCCAAAAAATCTTATGACGAAATTATAAAGGACATTGTGTCCGACGATTTTCCGTTGAATCCGTTGGAATTGGTAGGTGAACTGAGTTTTGATGATCCTGCTACCTTAAAAGAAACTGACAAGCTGCCAAGATCAGATGTGCAGGAGTTCTACAGAGATGCCTCTATTTTCATCACTGGTGGCACTGGATTTATGGGAAAGATGTTGATCGAAAAACTCAGTAGATCCTGCCCACATCTCAAGCATATCTACTTGTTGATTAGGAATAAGAAGGGCAAGGATGTTAATGAACGTATTGATGCCATATTTGAAGATAGGGTAAGACCATTTTGTTACTAACGTTTTTAATTAAAAATATCTTTTTGATCTAACTGAGCATTTATAGAAGTTTATTTTTCATTTTTTTAAATTATAAAACGCCAAATATTTAAACACAATAATATACGAATGTCAAAAGTCACTAAATAATTCTAATTATATCTATATTTAAAAATGTTTAAATGTCGTTGTCAACAATTAGATTAATTAATAATAATATTACTATTACAAATAATTATACTGGGTAGATGTTAAAAATAATTAATTCGAAATTGGATACCTTAAAAATATATTTTGCTTTTCTTCTAAATATTTTAAACAAATATAATTATATTATATTATATTATCTTAGTGTTCTAATTTATAATAATTTAACGAACTTTTTAAACTTAAAACTCATGCTTAATAATTTACCATGTATCACTTAAAATAAAACATTAAACGATCATCGGAAATAAATTGTCGAAACATCTATTGCATTTTAATCACCATGGGTACATATTAATTATTTTAGTAAGTGTTTTATTGAATAACTAGCATGTAGTGTTTGATATTAATAATCAGTCTAATTTGCATACGCAAATGTAGTTATGTCTACTTCATTAAGAGAAACGGTTAATGAATTTATAACAAATATTTTTTGACAAGTTACAAAAAAAAAAAATTAAATTAGCATTAATTTGTTATAGCATTGTTTTTAAATAAGAAATTGTATCTCATCAAATGGAATTAGGTACTTAATTATGTTAGACTGAATTAAAAAAATCATTTTTATTTTTTACAAATGCATTTTATACACATTCGTTTTCAAGTTTATTTTGTTGAAAAAGTGTATTTTCAACATGTGTACAGTTTAAGTGTTTAAATATAAGTTTAAGGGAATTAAAGATATTACTTTTAAATAGGTATAGTACTAATGTCATTTAAAAATCGAACAATTTACACTATTTAGGATATTAAACATTTATTCGAACTAGTTTTTGTTGAAACATAAAATTGTTCTTTCCGTCAATAACAGTGACAGACTTGTTTTATTTTACTACCTTCCTCAATAATTCTGATAATAAAGAACTTATGGAATCAAATTAAAATTAGGTGCTTTATTTCAAGGCTGACTTCTTAACGTCTTTGTGATGTCTTTGTTGGTTAGTAAAAACCAACTTTATTTGTGCTAAAACACACACATTTTTTGTTAGGTATCAAATGTTGTGCTATTTAGTGTCTATTGTGAAAAATAGCAATTATAGACAATTCATATCCTATATAAATTTTCGGAGAATTTTAAATTGTTATTTTGAAAAAATCAAACAACATTTCAAAATGGCTAAGAACTATTTAAACATTTCATTTTTTTTCGAAATACACAGACACACTCTATAATATTAACATACCATAATATTATTTATGGATACATCAGTTGTAATAAAATACGTGACTCAAAGAAGTGAGTACTTACAATGCATATAGATTTTTTTCTAAATGGGGTCACTGATACTTCGTTATTATTGGGCACACACATATATGTCACGGTGGTTTGCACTTTTAATTTTATCTTTTCATGTAGAAACAACAAAATTAATGATTAATAATTCATCGGATGACCCTTATTGTTTCGTTAATATATTATATTAAATATTATAAAATATATTATTGCACTTTAATGATTACAAGAAATGTCATCACAACATGTTACATACTATTATTATAAAGAATCACTTTGAGCAGTGCAAAGTGTATTCATATAATACTATTATTAATAGACACTTAATAAATTGTTTCGTTTTTTATTTTACATATGAAAACAAATTCTAGTAGCCCGTGTCGTGTGTTATATTTTAAAGCAGTATTATTTTTCATTATATTTTAGTTGTTTATGCGATTGAAGCACGAGAGGCCAAAGTTCTATCACAAGATTTCTGCGATCGCCGGCGATGCATCTTTGCCAGGATTAGGCATATCTCCTCGTGATAGACAAACATTGGCTGATAATGTGAATATTGTATTCCATGCGGCAGCCACAATCAGGTTCGACGAACACATACGCACCGCAATCAACATCAATGTCCTCGGTACAAGGGAAATCATCAACCTGGCTAAAGAAATGACTAATCTTAAGGTAACAATAATGTTTACACCCGTCACATAGTAATTAAAAACTTACTAGACTATTATTATTTATGCGCTCAAAGGGGTCAATATCATTAAAATACAATGGTATTATCAGTTTGAGTAACGTAATGATAAAATAAAAAAACTAAAGCAAAAAATATTTTACAATGACGCGGCCGTTACGTGTTATTGGAACGTGCAGGTGACGCACAGATCGGTTTTGGCTGTTGATATCCTCGGCACATGATTTATTCATTTTTTCGCCATGTATTTAGTTATTTTGTATGTTTTACTAATCTTACAATTTTGGATACCTTCAAATGCCAATTTTCATATCGTGCAATTTTACATCATATAATTAATATTAAATGTCAGTATAGATCGCTGCCGTGTTCAAACGATTGCGTTTAACGATAACTGCAAACGACGATAAGTGAACAAGTTGTTTATAATTAAATAGCTCATAAAAAATATGTACATTGTAGTGAGAACGTATATCCGAGTAGGTGTCAGCCGGGATACAATAATTTTTTATTTGGGAAAAAAATGTTATTATATAGGGGGGGGGGACTCCCAAAATACCCGTATCCGTGGATGAATTAGTATAAGACATAATATAATATTATAATTTACGAACAATTTATTTCGAGCCTCCAAGGTACTCAACCTCGTAAACGAGCTCAAGTCTTAAAAATACCCTCAATACACCCAAAACTACTTTCCTGCAACTACGTAGCTATGACGATTATATAACTAATTGAAAAACATTTCAGTAGACTCTATTTATATGTACCATAATACAATATAATATATATTGTACCATATTATATGAAATCTGCAGCACACCCAAAATAATTAAGTACATATTTTGATTGTATCTAATGTAACGAGTTTTTACCGTACTAGGGTATTTACGTTAAAATTAAGTATTAAATAATTAATCAGAAAATACATTATCGATTATGATATTCCTTTTTATACTTAAACTCACGTGCATGCAAAAAAATGTAACTTGTTCTTATGGTCAACTTCAAAATCTAGTTCTACAGTCGTGTTTTGCATCGAAGGCCGTGGTGTGGCACTGAATAGCAAGTTGTACTATATCGTAGGCAGTTTTTACCTCTCGGAAAAATATGATACATGAGTGAGACTGGTTTTAGTTCCTGCTCTATGAATTTACGATACTGGAATTTTATTTAAACTGGTAATGTTTATCAAGACCTGTACCAGGTACCTGTTGTGCAACCTAGCTATTGACTTCTGTGTATATTTATTGAAAAAAAAAGCAAATCGAGACAACGACACTTGTCAAAAATATTATATGGTTGTACGTGGGTATAAATATCATAACAACAAAGAGTGAAAAAGTGTGTATTAATATTTTAAAATTTAAATGTGCAAATACATTATTGTAGTTTGATAAATAACATGTTCATTGAATCTGATTATTGTTTTGTCTACATTTATTCTGTTCATGCTTCGAGATCTCAATTTAACCTAACCTTACTAGGTACCTATGCGGTTATTACCTATGCGTCTCTATTTTCTCGAATATTTATTTTGTACACATTAAAAAAAAATATATTTTCAAAATCCACTATTATTCCATACAGGTACCTATTTACCTGTAAACGATTTCAGAACATGAAGTATAGCAATATTCTAATATATATTTTAAAAACAAGGTATAATATTGTAATTTACTGATATATGTGTAATGTATTTATCCCAATAGTATAACGTTTTAACTGTTAAACTATTTATTTTAACGTATATTAAAATATACAATCAATCTAATTGTTGTGAATGTAATAAATGTGTTTGTAGGCTTGTATGTACGTGTCGACTGCATATGCTAATTGTGTACATAGTAAAATCGAAGAAAAGTTTTACGATGCGCCGTATAATTACAATGGAGTGATATCCTTGGTAACTTCGGCCAACGACGATAAAAAGTTAGAAGATATCACACCCAGGCAAGTGAAATATTATTTCTATACAATATTAAATCGTTCAACATGAATCCATTTTAACAAAAATGTCTACGCTTTTAGCTTAACCGCTGGTTGGCCAAACACGTACACGTTCACGAAAGCTTTGGCCGAGGATTTGGCCAAACACGAGGCTGTCGGGCTACCACTCGGCATTTTCAGGCCATCAGTCGGTTAGTAGTGTATAATTAGTACCAAGTTGATCTTTTTTTTTTTCACAATTTTGTACTTTAAACATTATTACTCATTATTGCAGTTATTTCGACATATAATGAACCTGTTCGTGGTTGGATCGATAACGTTTATGGTCCCATTGGTATGATTGTGGGAGTCGGTGCCGGAGTGCTTCACACACATCACTGTGATGTTACCAAGGTCGTCGACTTAGTTCCAGTAGACTTGGTTGTTAATGCATTGATATGCTCGGCTTATAAAGTCAGCAAAACTACACCAACAATGTAAGTTCCCAATAAATATCATACTCTGAAGGATGCTGTTAGAATTTAGCATTGACTGACAACCAAACCTTAACTAGTTATAATCTTTATTTACTTCTATAGTATTAAATATTTTATTTATTATACTTGTGAAAAAAATTGAAATCGTCTACAACCAAAACCCGTTAAAAAATTATTTTCCTAGTAGCCATAAAGCATTACATAAAAAAAGATTTTTCTGTTAGAGCTGTAGACATTTGCAATAAAATGCAATGAAAATAATAGGATTGTAAACCGATTGAGTTTCGAGCTTTTTGAAAATCTATGATTTTTTTATTTATGTGAGAAGGCCAAATAAATATTTATATTATTTTGTGAATTAAATCTGTTTGTTTATTAATATATTTGTTTCGATTTTATTTGTTTTTTTTTTTTAGTGAATCAAAACCACCTATTTTTAATTATGTCAGTTCTAAACAGAATCCAATTAGCTTAGAAAATTTCTTCGACGTCATCAAGAAATACGGACTTCCTAACTGGCCTACCATCAATGCTGTTTGGTACTACTCATTTGTGCCCACTAATAATCCATATCTTTACTCCTTATTGTTCTTATTATTTCACACGATACCCGGGTACTTTTTGGACTTTTTATGCCAGATAACCGGCAGGAAGCCAATGTAAGTATAAAGCCAAAATCGTTTATTTAAAATATTCATAATACCTATTTTATTGACTTTAATGTGTCTATTACTATCTGCAGGCTTTCTAACATCTATAGAAAAATGAAAAAAGCCAACACTGCTCTAGCGTTCTTTGCAAATAATCAATGGGAATTCAATGACAATAACACCAGTACACTGTGGAAGGACATGTCCGAATCTGATAAAAAGATATTCTTCTTCGACATAAAAGAAATGTCTTGGGATTACTACGCTCGAGCTTGTGCAATCGGTCTGCGGTTGTATTTGGTGAAAGATGACATACATACAATCAAAAATGCAAGAATCAAATGGGAAAAGTAAGTTGATTCATATAAGTATTGTGATTCTAATTATAAATTATTGCGTTAGTCAAATACTAAACCATATACCTATAATATTTTGTATAAGTACGTTTATTTTAAATGACGTGCCTAATGATTTTTACTAAAGTTAATTCCTAATTAAATCAAACCGTAAAAATAATTAAGCCTTTAATATGTCATATCTACCTACAATTTTGTTTTTGACCGATTGGCTATAAATACCGCGTGACTTATGAAAGAAATATCAATTCACTAGAACTTTAAGTGAGGTTATCAATTTTTGTTTATTCCTATTCTTATATTTAAGTACATATTGTCTTCGTACTAAATCGTTGGTCATTAGTAAAATATTATAATAGAAAAAACACTTATATTTTATCTACGACATTAGTATACCATAAAATAGGAAATATTTATCAGAACTTGCATTGAAATGCCAATAACTTAGTATAACCTTTCACACAGTTAATTTATATAAAATAATATATCCATCAACAAAATATGTTTACTAAAAATATATTTATTAGTTATATTTTTAATACAATACCAATAAATGTTTTGTATTTTGTTTTTAGATTACGTAAAGCACACTTATTATTAAAAACCATTTTGGCAATAGTATTGATACGGATCTGCTGGTTCATCGTCAACATGTGCTTTAACTAGATGTGTGTACTTTATTTAAGTTAACATGTGTTTTATATTAATTTCGTTTTTAAGAAATATTTAATTATTTATGATTTGTGATAGATTGTTGCACAAATCAAACGTACATAATATGGTAAAGCTTTGGGATTAATTTGTAAATCAATATTTTGTTTACGTTAATTTTAGTTGGTAGATGTACTATCCAAGACTGAACAAATTATGTATCAACATATTGTATATTCGTGCTAGTTCAATATGTTTATTTAAAGTATGAAATAAAAAAGAAGAAACTATTATGATAATTTTTACTTGATTTGATTTTTGTATTTAGAATATTAATAGTTGTACATCTATTCATAAACGTATACAAAAACGTAAACAACGGAAAAATGCAACAAGTAGGTAACTGTGAAATAATTTGTCCATACGAATCATAGTAACCTCGAACCACCTTGATCAGGGGTGTTGCAGAACACTATTTATGATGTACCTACACCAGTTGCAAAATTCTATTGGTGAACAAGTTCACCATGCTTAAAAAAACACTCCTAGACTATTAAGGTCGCAGACACTCGATTTTATAAAAAAAAGAATTGTGTTCAGAAGTTGCATTATATAATAAGTTGATGGTATTATATAATAGCCCAAATTCCATTATAACCTTTTAAAACAGTTTATATTCACTTTTGTAGCATTAAAATACAATTATTGAACACATAAAAATATTAGAAAAATCATTAGCAAACGTTAAGCACATAATTAAGTACCTAATTATGTTTGTAAAATTCGTGATTTAATCTAATACAGATTTGTTTTGAACAAAACAATTTCATTTATTTTTTATACCATTTATACAAAATCACTGCATAATATTGAAATAATATCACTACGAGGTATGAGGCAGGATACCTGAGAGTACATAATATGACATTTTTGAACAAGTCGTAATAGCATAACAATCAAAAAAGGTACAGACAGTTGATCGCTCGTAATTATCTTTAAAAATAAAAGTAAATCTTTCTTAAAAGTCATACAAAATGTGTCCATAATTATAAAGAGCTCCTTAATACTTCAATAGTAGTTACCTACTTATTGGTGACGGGTATTTGGGTAGAACACGTACCTATAAATACGAATGCCTTCGTCATTTTACATTCAAAAGTCCAAAGAGAATCAGAATCCTAAAATCCTAACCAAGAAATGGCATTCTCATAAAAACAAAAGTATTTACTTTGTTAAGAAAATTAAATATTTTAAATATACGTCATATACAAATAATAAAAAACACATACAGTGAAAACTCTTTATAACGAAATTCTTTACAACGAAAAACTCTATATAACGTAAACATTACATATTAATGGTTGGTTTGCTATATACGAGTAACCCATTAGACAATTCATTCTCTATAACGTATCAGTCACTCTCAATAACGAAACAATATTTTATGTTTCATAATACAATTTACGTGTTATCGTATCTATTACATATATAAACTATAAAAATAATCGGCAATAATGCTGACATTTCCAAGAACGATTACATTCTTTCATTATTTGTAAAAATAATGATGTGTTTGATATATAATATTACATACATACATACCTTTATACATAAATAATTAAAATTTTGTTTTTTTTTAACCCTCTCTATTACGAAAACTCTCTATAACGAAAGAAATCTCTTGGTCCCTTCAGATTCGTTATAAAGAGTTTTGACTGTAATTGGAAAGAACGCGTTAATTATGCGTTCATGGTTCTTGATTTTCAGTTCACCTTCGTAATATAATGGATGAATCGTAAATACCACTAGTTTTCATCAATCATAATGGACTTGAACAAAAATTATATTTTAAGTGAATTTTGAAATTTTTTACAGTGCAGCTTTTTTTTTTTTGTAGTTTGATATATTATAGCTGTAAACTTTCATGAAATCTTTAATTTTGGTGAAAAGTAAAAAAGTGTTATTATGATTTAAATTTAAATCCATGAACTAGGAAGTACAATAAACACCTATACTTAATCAAATGTTAAGTGAAGAAACAGTAATTTCTGAAAATTAAATAGAAAATATGTAAAGTATGTGATTCCTGTAACCGACATGTATCGTATGTAATTATAATTAAATAGTTAAACAACTAAGTTTTAAAGTTTTGTTAACGTCCCGAACACTGTTTATTGAACAGTAAAAATATACAAAATCTACAAACAGTTAGTAAACAGTGATTTTTAGCGATCATTATACATTTTACTCCCCAAATAGTATCGTTTTATAATAACTAGTGAATAACGATAAATTCCGAGCTCTAATAAAAGGTAAACGAGTATGTGATTACAGTTTGTGAAAAAATCGTTCTAAAAAATTAAAACATTTTGAGTAATTCTAAATTATGTTAAAAAATTGCATTCGATTTTATTAGTAAAACACACTACTCTATTTACATAGCTATACATTTTCAATGTTTTCATACTGCATACAAACAAAATGGAATTAAAATTAATTACGTAATTAAATTATTTTTGATGTGTGTGATTTACAAATTATATGCCTTCTTTTTGTTCATAACACCAGTCATGAGAATCCGATTTCAAAATACTATCAAGTTTAATAATATGCGTATTATTTAAAACGAGATGATAAATACGTGTACATACCTGCATAGTGCATTGTGATAAATCTCCGTTATATTATATCAAGATTTAATTTGTTTTCTCACAAGATGTAGAACAACAAAAACAATGGATAATTTTTTTTAATAATTAACTAAGCTATTATAATAGTACCTTTACAATCATATAATAATCTTTTAATGATCCAATGAATAAATTAATCTTTTTTTTCCTAAATAAATACATATTGCATGAAGGACACTTATTTTACATTGATGCGTCTAAAGTGATAACTCTTGAAATATTTTATTTTTAGAACATGAAATGGTAAATGACTCGAAGATATCTATATACTTATTTGGTTAGTTGTGATTTTATTCATAAAGTCACTTTTTTGAAAAGAAGGAATAATTTACAACACAATGCATTCCAACAGTTTTAAGTACTTAGACAAAATAATATATCCATCGATTGAGCAATTTCGTGATTTTTTTCAATATTCGATAGGTACTTATATAGATTTGTAAATCTTGGAAAAGAACAACGACAACCGCGTAAAAAAAGTTAAAAAGATTCATTTTTACAATCTTATTTTAAGAAAATGCCTCAAAAGTTATTCAAGTTTGAAATAATGATTTTTCAAACAATAAGAACTTTTCTTGTACTTGTGATGTAGAAAAAATAAAAACTTCGTGACACAGTAAATGTACTCTTATTTATAGTGCAAAAATTTGGTTGCTTAGCTTGGACTACAGATTGAGTGGTTCTATTTTGCGTAGTTTTTGCTATATCGTACGTTTGTAAGATGGAGACAATACACGCGGGTGTAGGGTCCTCTTAAGAATAATTATATTATGTTGTGGTAGATCCTATTTGTGATTATTTTGAAGTGTTTTTTTTTTGTGAATACATATTTCATTATTATTTTTATATTCCTGATTTAATAAAAATGCCTGGTTATGGAGTATTGGAAAATTGATATAGAACGTTACTCATAACCGTGATTTAATTACAGAGATAATTAAACCTGTTAAACGAGATGATTTTATCAACTTAATTCACAGATAATGTTGTTAGTCGAGTAAATAAAAAAAACTCGCTCTGCTGTTCAGTAGGGTTTGAGTGTACCTACTACCTTGTCATTGAGTAGGTCACTGCCATGATTCATGGATGTGTTAAAATGTAATTCAGTAATAAAGCATTGCATATTTATATGTAAAAAAAATTCCAAGCGAGGGAGTCGGGTGGTTCAATATCTATTTCTATAAGTATAGCTTATATACCTAAATTATCTTATCTTATACACCTATTCTGTATTCATTTTAATATATTATTATTGGTATTTTATCATTAGATTGAAAAAATCGTAGCCAAAAACGTAGCATAATATATCTTATAAGCCAATATCAACAAGCACAATTTTAACATAGCCTATCTAATCATTTCAGGTTTATGGTATAAATATGACTTAAAATCAGTCTCGATTTTTGGAAAATGTTTGTGTATAATATGTATATAAATAATTCAATTCATTCGTGGAATAAATCGTACCTGATAAAATGAAATATAAATAAAATACAGCGCTATTAAATGTTCGTTAAAATCAGTCGAGTAGCGATTTTGAGTAGGTATGTAATATGTAACTTTACAGTCTACAAACATACATTAATTTGTATATATACCTACCCAGATTCAAATTTAAAATGCTCATTTATTTTTGTAATTAATAGCAACCGCGCGCATATATAAATAAAAAAATATTCGATTTTCGTGAGCCAAAATTAAATTCATGTGATAGCTACCCTATGGCAACCTATGGGCATCGATAAACGAAGTTATCATTCACCGAGTCTCACCGATGTCTCCTAAATGGGCACAATTGGGTGCCAATTGGTTCAGTGGTCCCAAGCTTATATTTAGCCCTATACAAACGTACATGCATCCCTATACATATATTGAGATATTATTTGTATACCCATTATAGAACTTTTATCGATAAATAATAAATAATAATACATTTTTCCAGCGCCACCAGACTCATAAACCAACTGTAAATACCTACACATTTAAAATGTAAATATGTATAGGTATAGTAATTTTATATTCACAGTGATAAATGAGTAGCAAAATGGCGGAGTAGCATACCCATTATCCATAGTGGCTTACCTGTCATTATGTAAAACAATATGTAGAATTCAAACATATGTTAATCATGTAGGCTAAAGCCCTTAGCCTTTATTCCAAAAAAGAATATTTATTTATATATATATTATTAACATAATGTAAGTAAAATATTTTATGTATTAATGAAGCTGTCATAATCTACCAGTTTTTATGTTTCATGTTTATTTTATTTAAGGATGAGTAAAACGATTTCATAAGATAGGTAATATGTTCAATTTATCTCCAGAAAACTTACCCCCAATCGATATTTTAAGTAGATAAATCTTTAATTGATTTATTATGACCTTGAAATGTAAACATTTGTTTTACTATACATATTTTATTACATCAGAGCTATTATTTCCTTGATCCATTTGTAATTTATTATTTTATTTTTATATTATATTAGGTATTGAGTATTGACATAGTTATAACTAATAACCTACATTTTTTACTTGGGCCACACATTGTTATATCCACCATTAAAGCTTATAAGTTATAAGATAATAATAATCTAGAAAACACATACTCTAATTAAAGTGTCACTAAAAAAACAATTGTGTTAAAAAAATGGTCAGTTTCAATTTTCCGTAGGTATACGTGAAGAAGTTTCCATAATGGGTAATAAATGTCTGTAGCACAATCTCAAAAGAAAACAATCCGAAAACGGGCACATGGACTTTTTGGACATTGTTGGAATTGTTGAAACTTAGATTTTTTTACATATAACTTATTTTTAGGAATTGTTTTTTGATGTTTACGAGAAGATCACCTTTATTATACAAAAAATATGAAAAAGAGAAATTAATATAATAATAAAAACAATTGTTCTGCTGTATAGTAGGTTTATATATCGGGTATCGTTACCGGGTACCTATAGGTCATTGTAGTCTGTACATTTGCAAATGTATGTTTTTAAATTGAATTAAATGATAAATCATTGTGTTCGAAAAACGTTTCTGAACGGAAACCGCCCGTCAAGGCTAACCATGTTACCAATACATACCGAACCAAAAACAACTTATCTAAACAATTTCATGTACCACCACTCGTACTCATTAAGTCTAATAACTATGACTACACACATTTTTGTAATACGCGGTACAAAACGCAATTAGTTTTAATAAATTCAGTTTCAAAAACAATCTAGGCAAATTAAAACTACTAAGAATATATTCCTAGTCTGCCTCATTTAGAAAAGTTGTAAAATTCGTAAAGAATTCAATTTCTTCACCTATCAAATCCATCAAGGAAAAACATTTCGGGTAGTTGTCTAAGCGTAATCCACACTACACTACTAATAATGTTCACAAAGAGAAACATAAATTATTTAGTCTTTAAAATAGAACCTATACCCGAATAACCCCTAACCCCAAGAAGAAAACGTAATAAATACTTTAAGCAATAATATATTATTCTAAAATTCGACTTTATACTTTTGTATTAGCAAATTAATATCGTTAGTAAAATTAAATTAATTAGTATCCATAGTAGATGAAAATCAATACTATTGAGCTCTCTCTGTGCGGGCACCACGTTTTGGTACATCGTTTTAAATACTCAGGTAACATATGTATCGAAATATTTATTTACATACTATAGTTTTATTTTTAATCAATCCGTCATCCGAAAAATATCAAAAATGTATAGCTAGGTCAATAAGTACTTAGTAAATTTATAAAAAATCCACCACCATTGGGTGGTTGTGGTTTTTTATGTGAAAAAAATAGAATATTTTTCTTTTGATTATGCCATGTTTAATAATGCCTTTAATAAACCATCATTTCAATTTTTAATAATATTCTCTTTGCAAAATAATTTTGATGTTTAGCGCCTGCCAGGCGTTCCCCGAGCTCACTTTTTGTATGTATATTAATTAGTCATAACACATTATAAATGCACAAACGGTACCAACTTAGTAATGTCAAATTTTTTATTAAATAAAACGTTTTTACAATAATTAATAATGATTACATCACATATTGTATATTTGTATTACTATATTATATAACTATTAAATATTTCACTTTTTTACATGTCCGGAAAATGTATAATTATTAAAATGAAAAGATCTCAAGATTGTATTTATAAAAACTGACACTTATAAAGTAATGTCACAGGAACTAACAAAATACATATTGTTGTAATTTTTAATCACCTTGTTCCTTGCTATCTTTATACAGAACATCCGGTATGTTAAACACTGACTGATGAGTGTCCAAATTATTTTTACAGTTTCTTCCCATGGACCACATACCAATAACAACATCTCTCTTGTTTTGAGAGTTAACAAATCCTAAAAAATAAAAATTCGTTTTTTTATTTAAAATCATACGGTTCCCGTTTAATTACTCTTCTAAAATACACAAAATCTACTTTATTACCATATTAACCTAACCTTACCTAACCTTGCCATATTAATCTACTTAATGATATCTTCAAAACTATATTTTGTGTTTTAAAATGTATGGTTAGTGGTTACTGGTAAATAACAAATAAGAATAACAAAAATATAATAAACTCAATGTACAATAACAAAAATACAATTTTTTTTGATTTTTTTTTGATTTATAATTATATAATACAATTTAAGGAAAACGTGTGGTACTTGTTTTAAAATGAACATTTTCAATTTTGAATCCAACAGAATTGTTTATGGGATCAGGTTTTATTCTTGACCACATTTGTTACGTACCTACGCGACTCGCCTTTTTTTACATTGCTAAAAATTATAATTCCTATTATTTTGACTGTCCTTGTCTATAATACGGTTTCATCAAATCGCTATTTGTATACTATCTTCTTGGTTAACCGTAACCTGTTCACTGTCCTTGATTTTATTGTCTCGCTAGCCATCACCAAAATTAAAACTTTATTTTATACATCGGACTTAATTATCCAATTGTTATCTTGAGATTAGTATTTTATAGTGTATGCAGAGTGTCCCGTGACGATTTACCCACTGAGATATCTCCTGAGATAATACATTTATCATAAATCTGTTTTTTTTTTATTGGACTCTCAGAGACAAGAACTACATATATTTTATTTTTCAATTTAATTACATTTTTTTGGTAATTTTTGAAATAATTGAAGATATCCCTTTTGTAGAATTCATTTTTCTGACAATTTTGACCTTTCAACATTTCGTTTTCATTAATTACATGATTTTTAATAAATTTTTTAGTTTATAGGTACAACGGAGAAAAACTGGTTTTTATCCGGACAGCAAGTCCCCTCTACGGCTAATGGGTATATCCTCACGGGCCACCCTATATGCTATGTACCTACAATTCGTATATGTTTATGTAATATATGTAATACAATAAAGTTTTAAAATTTAATAAGTTCTAAAATATTTAGGATCGAAAAGTATATTAATATTAATATGGGGGTTATGGCCCCCAGAGTGTAAATCTCAAATTTAGTTGATAAATGTTATTTTGAGCTTGAAGAGGCGCCCACAGCCGACTGTTTGAAAACAATATTATCATATTAACGTACCTTTAATAGTATGTAGGTATTAACTATTAGGTAAAATTACTTTAGATTTGTCTTAAAAATAAATTAGGTCTTTATATTTATTTTGGACTGGAAAAAAACCCCTGAACGAGAGTTACCGATAAACACGGCGACGTTCTTATCCGCCCTGTTTATGACTGATAACGAGACCGGACCTAGGGGTCCGTACTGCGCGTTGGCCTTGGCCATCCAACCTTTGTTGAGGAAACCGTTTGATTTCGTGCCGACTCCCGTGTCTAATATCTTGACGGGTATACTGTTGTCTATGCCCACTGTACTATGCGAGTCTACGACGAACCGGACGCCTGCCAGTTCTGACGACCACGTGCCGCCAAAAACGGACTTCGCGGCCACCTGTTCTGCAGCTGTGAACATCGACGACACACGCCGAATTGAACGGTACAATAATAAATAACGCTGTTCGCAATGTAGATAATCGCATATCAATATATAAAGGATGAGCAATAGATATGCCAATAATGTATAGCCAGATATCATCCTTAAATAATATATTAAGGCTCTCATCCAGGATAGGTACCCGATTGGTCTTCCTGACCGTTACCGAGTCACTACATGCGTGGTGTAATATATTTTCTGTTTCGTAAAATAAAGTTATTGTATATCACTCAATATCAGAGTGATAAGTGGGAATTATTACATAATGGTTACCTACAAGCAATACTGATAACAGAAGGCGATTGGAAGCTCTCCCGATTGTAAACTCTCCCGGGTCTACTACAGTTTTACCTGACGAGAGTATGTAAACTCTCCCGGGTTTGCAATAGTTCAGTACTATTAAGCTATGGGACATTATTCGTATTACGCAGTTGGTAAGGTTGAAAAACTTGGTTCAGCCATTAGAGTCAATATCGTTTTAAATATTTAAATTAAAAATAGGTAGACGGTAACAAAATATTTAAATTGCAAATTCAGGTTAACGGTAATACAATTGATAATCAATATTTAAAATGATAATCACAATCTCTACAGTGAAACCAATTCATAGTGTAGCAATAACATTTAAAACAACTCAGGAGAGCTTACACTTTTCCTTTAGGTAAACATAATATTGACCCGGGAGAGTTTACCATTGGGACAGTTTACTAGTTTAAAAAATCGGGAGAGTTTACCATACAATCAGGAGAGTTTACCACAGCCCATAACAGAGGTATCGATGGGGCATTTACCAAAACTTCGGGAATGCTATGATGGTTATTTACTATATTTATTATAGAGATGGCCTGCCTGTTTCTACATTAACTATGGTTTAAAGCAATAATGATGCATTGTGGGAGTCATCGTTATTATTAATTATTATAATCGCCTATAGAGTAGTATATAAGTAAACGCATAGGTAATTATTATAATTATTAATACCAATTTACCAAAGTCTAAAATACAGTAGTTAGCTGCATAAACTTGACCCATATATAATTACTTATACATAATGGTTAGGTCAAGATTTGTTTAACTTTGATAGATACTACAAAATATACATGTGGTTCCACATATATATCGTATTATATTTTAAAATGTTAATTTTAAGTAAAATGTAGTAAATATACATATAAAATGATAAAATGCTAGAATTTACATATAACTACCATAATATAATAAATTAATCAAATGAATATTATGAATAGGTATATTATATGTTATAATAAATCTCTAGAAAACCTTCAATACTACTACGATATTTGGTACCTAAAAGTATCTAACTATCGTAAAGTATAATATGATTGAGTTATGTATGTTATGTTTTACAATATATTATATATTTTAAATTAAGATGATGTCACCTCAATATTTGTTTTCATGCTCAGGCTCACGCAGATTGTTGAAACGTAGTCAAGAAAAAGTATAATTGTAATATAACCTATTACAAAAATTATAGAGCTTAATATTTTTAAAGGTTTTATAATTTATTATTATTTGACTTTATATTCGACTTTAAAAATTAAAACATTATTTATAAATTTAAATGGATATCAAATTGTTTACAATTATACCTAGTAATTAATATTTTCGATAAACACGAGTGTAATTTAAATAATAATTTTATTAGGTATTGACAAAATGTTGAATGACATCAGTGAAGTGATGATCTCACCAAAATCAGGAAAATAAATAAATATGCAATAAATAATAAATTATATATGTGACACAAAAGAGGGTCATTTAATTTGAATAACTTTGCATTTAACCAAAAATTTCAAATCAATAATCCTTTTTTTATATTTATTATTTGATTATTTATAAATTAACGTGACTTGGATTTTATTAAAAGTAACGCGTTAATTATTAAGTTAATAACAATTTAATTTTAAAAAGTTGAACTCTTTTAAGTATTGACATCTGATACTCATGTATCCTTGTAATTATGTAATAAATTGATAAATAAAATAAATTAACATTTGTGTACTCATTTTATAAGACTTAAATTGCTTACTCAAAAAAACTTCAGCTTATGGTACAATTTTTATGAAGCTAACAGTTAGAATGGATGAAGAAAGAACTAATAGTAAGAAAAATAAATGAAAGATGAAATACTTACAATTTTATCTACCTTATCAGATAGTTATTTATTTTTTAAAGGAAATGCAAGCATGGAGCAGTTAAACTAATAATTATTGTTTTAATAAACATTAGTACACAACTATAACAGTATCAAACTGTCTATGTCGAACAGTACTTTAGGTATCAAATAACAGGTACGTATTTTTACTTATGCTGGAAATGATTTGAATGACCCAGTATCCAAAAATTTGTCTTTCGAATTTCCGAGATTCGGTTGCTCTAACGATGACTGACACTATAATTTGTATTGAATTTATCTTTTTACTTAAAATTGTTTCGTGATAACCATTCATCACTATTTAGTATTTACATATTTTAATAAATAAATAATTACAATGATAAGAAAGTTTTGAATTAAAAATTGCTACTTTGAATTATATTATATATACCTAATTCATGCATTATTATTTTTAAATATAAAGTAATATGATGCGCGCATTTTAAATGGATCATTAATCACCACCATTATTTATTCATTCATTCATTCATAACTTACTAAACTAGTAATATTATTACAGTAGCTACTGCCCACAAAGTAGGCACCTATAAAATATAGTGAACGTTGTAATCAGTAGCAATATATAAATACTATAAACACAATAAGCTAATATTATAAATGATAATTAATTAACAAGCCAAAACAAATCGAGGTGAGTTTGTCGAATATTTAATGTTTAACAACGAGTATACCGAATGTATATAATTATATCGACTAGCAAGCAGTAACCAGCATATAACTTTCATTATATTATACTGAATATCTAACGATGTAATATTCTAAGTCATAACTTATAATTAAATCATAATTATTGTAACATTCATTTTGTTATGTAATAGATGTTACAAGTCTTAATTTTTTTATTTTATTTAAAATCACAACACATTTTTTAAATTCTGTCAGGATATAGTTACTGGTTATTTTATTGTAATATTATGCTACGGGTTGTTGGATAATTAGTTATTGCTAGGTAATCACTTAAATGGAATATTTTTTGAATAAAACAGTTCATTTTTACTTTAATATTAAATCAATATTTAATCAAATTTGGTTATTCAGATTATTATTTTTAATCACAGCAAATTATACTATATATCACGTAACATTTAGAGCACTTTTAATCAAAAATGTGATCACAGTTCAATCGAAAAATAAAATCCTATACCATTGTCTGTTTATGTACAATTAATAGCTATGCTTTTCTACTCAATAACTAACATTTTTATGTTATATTCTCTTACTTTTAAAATATTCTGACTCTCGTTTTTTTACTTTGAATCCGTTTCTAATATGTTTAGATGATTTGAACTTATTTTTTGTACATAGCTCTGGCCTATTCGAAATATGATTTTTTTTTGATGCAATATGATTAACTATATTTGATTCTATATTTGTACTTTTTTGTTCATCATTAAAATGTGTTGAACTATTGTAATTGATTTCTTTATTTGGGATCTATAATAAAAAATAATTATTCAGTCGAAACATATTTACATATTCAATTACTTGAAAACACGATATTTATTACAACAAATGAAGAAGTGGTATCTTTAGTGATAATAGTTTTCAAGCACAACAATAATGTATACATAAAAACAAACAAATAACTACGACTTATGAAAGTATAACGTATCATGGTTTTGGAATTTCGTAAAAATTAATATTAAAAAAAAATATTATACACTATATTATATTATAGTGGAAAATAGCTACGACTTATGAAATTATAACATATTATCATAGTTTTGGAATATTGTGAAAATTATTTTTCATTATATATTATATAGTGAAAAATTCCTATGACAACCTATAGTTGAATAAAAAAATGAGTCTATTAATGCATAATGTATTTTATGTTACTACTACTCGTTAAGTACTCAACAAAATAAATATAAAAAGTGTGGTCAAGAGTCAATGATTTGGTTTTGAGCACTCATCTTGGTCTAATATGTTATACCTGCCTAAGTTCGATCGCCTTGATCACCCAAAAAAGTAAATAATTGAACCTAGTGATCGTGTTCTACATTTTCACGCACTTTGATAAATATCTTGGAAATTATAAAACTCTAGGTAGGTATTTACTTTTTATGTTTGTGTATATTGTTTTTAAACATTCAGCAATCGTAAAAAATAGCAAAAAATGGCCAAAGCCTATTGTGAAAAATGGTAATAATTAATAATAATGGTGAATCATTTTTAATAAGAAGTTTATTTAGTGCTAGGCTTTCGACATCATTTGATTAGATTTTATGGAAAAAAGTTAAAGCAGCCTGAAAACACAATATTAATGTATTAAAATATATTCCCTGAATTATGCTTTGTATTTATATGATTATTTATATTATGGAAAATATTTAAATAATTCAATTTTTCTACTTAAGATAAAATTATTCATTTTATTTTATGGGGTTTTTTATAAACATTTTTAGGACAAAATATGTTTGTAAACACAACTAGACGAATTTATATTGAGTTTAATCAATAATTTCGGAAAAATAAATAATTTATAAATGTACTTATATGCTTCCATATATACAACTAACATTGTAATAGTATATTATATTACATTAGGGTATACCTATTACTTACAAATAATAAGCTTTACAATTTTTAATACATTTAAATAAGGGTATTACTTAGAATAGTTCATCAATCGTATATTAATATATAATATCATACTGCCATTGGTATAATTTGTAATTTTTATTTCTGGTTATAATAAATACACTAAATCAAATTGTTGATGCGTCTCAACTAATATATACAAATAATAACAAATAAACAAGCTATGAAAGTAATATACAGAGTGTAGGTATAGCTTTAAGTGTATATAAAAAAAATTTATTTGTTATTAAATTTAGATGTATATCTAAGATATGTACCTACACATTTATCATAAATTCAAATTTAGTAAGATCAATCTAAAATAATTATTATTATCCATGACTGTAAGTATATGCCAAATCGTTGACCCAAACATATTCCAGCAGAAATTGTTATTTACAAACTTGTTCCGTAAGCAGGATTTTGTCAAGGTTCCTTGTAAAATGTAATGTTGTACAAAAAGTCGGCACCCTTGGGTTGGGTACTTGCTACAAATATTTTTAAATGCGGAATTATATTAGTGGGTTTAAATTATATTATATAATATTATAAGAATAATATCAAAACCTGCTTACCTGAAACCAGTGTTAAAAAATGTTAAAAGTCATAAATAAAATATTAAGCATAAACACCCACCTTTATGGATCAACATTCAATTTTGGTACAAACAACTCTTATACTGCACACTGTCATTATAGTAGGTTTAACCTCAAAATAAAACAAATAATATACATTTCATATTGAAGTCAAATATTTGATAGTTTTATCGAATTGGTATTTTTCTAAAAAGAGTAGTACTATATCAATTAACCAACGATTGAAAAGTATTGGAGCTAAACTCACTAAACCATTCTTACTGGAATTACTATTTACAATCCAAAGGTAATGGTTTTTTTTTCTTTCAGAACAAATAATATATACGTACAGATAGTATCTGATGCGACAAACGCTGCGATAGTCCATGAATGTATAGTGTTATGTATAATAATTATCAAAATATCAGCATATATTGTATTGTGGCACGACAAATGATAAACGAGAGTAAGACTTAACCACCGGAAAAACAGTCGACGTTTAATATACGTATGTCCTACATTTTTTAAAATAACGTTTTAATTGCAATGTAAACACAATACAACCACATACCTATTATGTATTGCGTGTCCAAAAAATACATAAGTAGATTACGTGAACATCACAACAAACGAAAAACATGTAACACAACAACTGCAGAAATGCAATGTGGTAATTCGTTAAGTAATAACTATTTACTATTCATTAAAAAAAAATATTCCCAGTGCAGAGTCACAAATGGTTGCTCATCAACAGCCTCCAACAATGGTTCTGGAAAAACTACTCTGTTCCTACGACAGATTATTACTAACATATACATTTTCACTTTTGTTTTCCTTCCAGTGTGTGACATCCGCATATTGTCTAGAGTGCCATATATATACCAATGTGTTTACTAATTTTCGAGACATTACGATTTTCGACAGACTCGCCGAATAATTTATCATTCACTGCTCTGCAATGGTAAACCAAAATAAACACTTGCTTTCGGCTCTTAAAATGTCCGCACGTTTATCTCGTCATTGTTTTTCCAGGTTTTCAAATCAATCGTCTACGTTTTGGTGTCTATTCAGCTGGTCGTTTGTGCGCTGCCCAACTCGTTTGAAGTGCCGTCCAAGTAAGTACCTAATACAAGATATGTATTGTTTTAAAAATGCTTGTACGATAAATGTTGAGCTTCATTTCTTTATTATCTTTATTCAACAATTTATGCGTCTATAAATTACCTATACTGGCTAATGAATATTCATCATTAAATAATCATACTTTTAGTTTCTACAAACAATGCGTTTAAATATTAATAACAATAACACATGTTACTTTTAAGTAACGAGGCTGATAATTGATGAATACTAAATTATTTAATATTATACAATCGACTATGTATCATTTTCATAGGCTAGGAATGTTGGCACCCAGGTGGGTTAAGCACACCTCACCTTTTTGAACTCGAATAGTTAAAATATTCGTACGTTTTTGGTTTTTATTGTTCTATATTTGATCATAAATTCATAACTAAAATATAATATAATGTAGGTACCCCCCTAATTTAAGAAAACCATATGGCGTACACAAATTCAATTTTTAATTGGCCGTTAACAATTTTAATTTTAAGACAATATATTCTAACTATAAATCTATCGCAAGTATTGTTTGAAAACATCGATATGCATTCATCATCGGCGTAACTATTATTCAAAATCTAAATAATGGAAGGGTTACTACGGTCCCAACCAAATTTGATTAATAAAACAATGTTCATAACGAATAATTGTTTGTTTTATGTGTTTAAAATAAAATATATTATTAATGCTAAGCTATAGGTGCCAGTTCATAAAAATCTTATTAAAATCAATGTAATTAATAAAAAGTCCACATCACTATGTATTTTTAAATGAACTCAAAACAAATACTACCCCAATTATTACTATAAATATTATGTTACATACATTTCTTTCAATATAAATTATTTTATACTCATTGCGGCAAAATATCTTCGCGGTCGAAATACTTAATATCGGCAATGTTGGCAAATTAAATGCAATTAATGATGTATGCAATACCGAGAAGTGTATAATAGTTGAAGAATGTACATTGATTCATACAATTATTATGGTATTAGATGTGAATCACATATATTGATACATTTAAGATTACCATTAAATGATCAGGTCATCAGATTATCTGATATTATATTGTATCATATTATTCAGTTGCTATAGTAAATACATTTTTTTCTACAAGTATTTCTGCAGTTTAACTATTTGCTTAAGTTATAAATAGATCTTAAAAATCGGGTAGGCGATAATTTAGAAACTGTGTGTCAAGACCACTCTTATGTCACCACTAAAATTTATTTGATAACATTTTACCTAGGTAGGTATTGCATAATAATTGTAAACGCAAATCAAAAATATTTAGCACTTTTAGCTCAAAATGATGTTATATATACGGATATGGAAAATCCTTTTGATAAAATTGATAACGACTTGCAAATTATAAAACTTTAATATTCTGGATTTGAATATCCCTTGTTAAGTTGGTTTAAATCATTTCTACCAAACCATAAACAAATAGTTAAATAAAAAAAATGTATGTTCTAACCAAATATGAATATCAGTTACATCAGGAGTTCTACAAGGTGATCATTCATCACCACTTCTTTTTTCTATTTTTATAAATGATCTACCTGAAGTCATTGAGCATTCAAATATATGTTATTATTCGCTGATGATGCAAACATTTTCAAGGGAATAAAAAATTTTGAAGTTACGAAAGATTTAAAAACTGACTTAATTACTATCCAGAATTAATATACCTTATTATTTAAGCTAAGTAAATGTTCAATTATTTCATTTTCGGTAAAAAAAATTCTATCGCAGTTATAATTATTATCTAAATTACCAATCAATAATTAGAGTTCATATGGTTAACCATATTCGTATTCATTTTGGCTCAAAATTATCGTTTTATTACCATATTGACTTTATAAGAAAAAAAGTATTTCAGAAACTGATCTTATTAAAACGGATATATAAGACTTGCAGGACGTGATTTATCTTAAATAATTCTACTGCTCATTGGTTGGCTCGAATATGGCTAGAATATGGATCCCTCATATGGTGATCAACAACTTTATGTCAATTGCATACATTGTATAAAATACAAAATCATTTTCTTGGATTTCTATAATTTAAATGATATGTTGAAAGAATCCGGCACTCAGGATATACAGGTGTCGAAGGATTTTTAATCTACCGATATTTAAAGTTGTATTAATAAAAATTAACTTAAATTATTATTATTATTATTATTAATGGATAGTATTTAAACTATTAAATAACATGATTGACTGTCTTGAGTTATTAGAACATATTCATTTTAAAATAAATACAATATCAAGTGATAAATCTCTGTTCTATCTGAAAAAAACATTACAAAAAATTACCTATTAAATTCGCCATGCAATATCATAATGTCTCTAGGTAACAATAGAAAAGATCTAGATTTTTTCAATTTATCACTTACCGATTTTTTTTTTACAATTATGACAGTTTATAACTTATATTAAAGTATTGTGCGTTGTAATTTCATTTAATCGTTTAATTTAATGTACTACATATTTCCCACATAGCCCCAATATTTACCGAGCTCGCTCTGACTATATAATATTATATAAGGGCACAGTGGTACACCCTTCATTTTGAACTATAATATGAATAAATATTGAAATGTATTTTTATAATATTTAAAATTATTAAAATAACGAACAGAGTGCAGCTCAATATTTCCACCTATACCTCCGTCCTTACATAGATATATAAGATAAAGGAAACATAATTCATATATTTTTCTAAAGCGTACAATATGTAACCAATTTAAATCTAACTGAGAGTATCCACCCAATACTTATTGTACATAGTATTAAGTTTTCTTTTATATCAATTAAATTATAAATATTATATAGTATTCGAGGTTAGGTTAAATTGAATCCCTTCAATTGTACATTTGTATAATATTTGACGTTTATTTTGTAACTTTATAGTGGGGTGCTACCGAGTCCGGTAACGTACTTCGAAGGAGTACAAAACCAAAACAAAACAAATTCTGGACGCTCCCCCGAGGCTAGATTTGGATACATACCGTCATCTTTTGGCGGAGCATCGACTGGAATGGGCGTGAGTATAAACTGATAGGTGCATTACAATGCGTGCTGCAGAATAATTAATATGCATTCATTAAATTTAAAACGTCTTCAGTTATAATAAACTGATCAACCCATTTAGAACTATAGCATATTTTTTTAAAATTATATTGTCTTCTGACTTTTTAAATATATTACAAAAGTTGTGTTTGTATTTAAAAGTAATATTGTTGTGAATTACGAAGAGTAAGCAAAGGAGTTTTTCGGATAAATATGAGGAGGAACAAAGAAGATACTGCACAAATGTTATATAATTTAATAATAATTTATATTAAAATAAAATTGTTTGTTTAAGGAATATCGAGGTAATTCGGTCAGTATTTAATGGTGCTTAAAAATGGCAATATTCGGTGAATATGTCGTGTACCTATATAAATTAATTTTTTTAAGAGTTAGGACAAATAATAAAATCAAATTTTTTCAAAAACTGTTTTTGGGTATAAATCTTAGTTTTATTTATTTTATTTTCTTGACGCTTTTGAAAATTGATGAACATTTTCACTTTAAAAACTAAAAAGTGCTCTTAAAGTTATTCAGTGAAATTTCTATGTATTCATTTTTTTCCTTCTGCTTTTTTACTTTTAAAATCCTCAAGTACTATGTTCCCTTTCCTATCGGAAAAGATAGTAGGTAGTTGAAGGAAATCTAGGTTTACAAATAATATACTGCACAAATGTTATATAATTTAATATTAAAATATTAAAATAAAATTGTTTGTTTAAGGGATATCAAGGTAATTCGGTCAGTGGCTATGGATCCAATAAAATTGATATAGGAGGTCTGGTTGTCGGCGCTGTGGTCGGGCTTGGTATTCTAATTTTCATCCCAAAAATTCTTTACTTATTATTTTCGACAACCAATCTTTTTGGTGCACATCCAGTAGGCAACGGTTACTCAGGATATGGAAGGAGTGAGTTACAACAATCATTATGAATTATTACAATTAATATTAAATAAATCGTATAGTTTTTATATTTATCTTCTGCGTCATCGCAATTTTGGTAGACGTTTACTACTTTTCAGTTTATTATAGGTACACATACGTTGTATTTTATTCATGAATAACTTTTCTCCGGCCTTGATTTATTTAAATTCGATTGTTTTACATTTTTTATTATCTTTCTTATGATTTTTTTTAACGTTTTTATTATTTTCTTAATGGTTAATACTTATAATTAACCTATTACAATGTCTCAAAAAATTACTTTAGCCTACTTAGTTGGAGGTTTATTGTAATAAACAAAGTAGATAAGTATAAAACAAGACTGATATGGTTCATTGCATTGTACATTGTTTTTTACATTTTGCTATGGTATAAAAGATAAAAATTTCTGTTAACACTTAGGTGAGGATTTAATGTCCGGTTTGAATGGTATAGTCACAAAGTTTGAGGAGTCCATGTCCAAGTATAATATAAATACAACAGAATGTATGCAAAAAGCACTATGCACTTATATACAGTCTACGGAACAAGTTAAAGAAAAATCAGGAGTCAATAATTTTGTTGACAGTTCAATAAATACTTTAACACAGTATGTAATGTTTATTTTGTTTATAAAGTCAGGATAAAAACTAGTTCTTTCAATAATTTATTGTAAAACCTGTCATAGGAACTCTGTAATGAATTTTATGATTGATGGTTCGAGATTCAAAGCAGCTCTTGAAGCCGGGAAGAATGGAGAGTGTACGACGGCCTACAGACAATGCCCATTTGACCAAAACAGCATTTATATGTTTTTAAGGCAAATTTCAACTAAAAAGTAAATCATAATTCCATTTTTGTATGCATATAGTTGCATATAATAATCGTATCCATATAATTTAAATTAAACCCGTATTTTTTTACTTTTTAAAGTATACTAAAAAATATATTATAGTTTATTATTAAATATTATTAATATTTCTCTTTATTTATTTTATTTTTATATACTTACCTATACATACTTATTATATAAGCTACAAATAATAAGCACAAAAACATTTGTACCTCAAGTTTGAAAGTTCAACGATAACTATTACAGAAAAAAACATCCATCAATATCCAACCTGTTGTTATTTTTGATTTTGTATAATTTAATATTATAATTATTAATTGATGTGGGTAATTTACTTTTACTATTTATGTATTCGTTCTATAATGCTTATAATAGTAGTATATTTTAATTTATACTCTGTATAAACAATATAGTAAATATGTATAAATATAATTAGGTAGGTAGTAAAATGCTCCGATTTTTGACATCAGCTCTATTTCTGATAAAAAATGAACCTATTGTTGGCACCGTTCAATACAATGGAAAATTCACAGTAGATTTTGAAAGGATAAAAAAATGAGAATTTTTAGGCAGAACCAATTTTTGATAAACCCTTTTTATTTGTTTGATGTAACTCAGTAACTAATAACTAATAACCACATACACTTGACATTTTCACTAAATATTTTTAAAAAAATATTGACTCTTTTTGAGTTATTTAGAGTTATGAGAAATTATTTTTTAATTATTGCCGATAAAACCTTTTTTACTTGGTGAAAAGGCTTGAAAATGTAATGCTAGGTTTCCTTATAAGCTGTTTTAATAGTTGTTTTAAAATATTAAAAGTTTATAGGCAAGATTATTTTTTATATGCATTCAAAGTTAAAATTTTAACAAAATTCATCAAAATCCCGAAAATGTGTAAAATTATTTTTCAGTTAGAAATTCATATTTTTTTTTATTTTGATAACTAACAATAGAAATTGTAATAAAAGATTCCCAACTAGTTTTTCTACCTTAAAAAAAAGTTTAATAAAATGTAAGGATTATTTTTATGAGTGTTTAAATTGAAAATCGTTACAATATTTAATATTCAGCGCTAAATTAACTAGTTAAAAATTAATCAATTTTTGATATTTCGGTGTAACTCAAAAACTAATAACCGTAGGCAATGAAAATGTTTACCAAATATGTATATTAGCATTTTATATGCATGATAAAATTTGCCAAAAATATTGTGACTCATTTTGAGCTATTTTGATGAAACAAATTTTACTTGGTAAGCTTGGCAATTTAGGTTTTGGTTTCTGGTAAGTTTTATTAATTTGTATGAGCTTTTGATTTTATTTTTTTTACGATATTTCATATTCAGCGGTTTTTATCTATTATATTTGATTATTTATACAAGTACCTACGCTAGATTACACCGTCTTCGCTCAGAATCGATTTTCGTATGTATGCAATGATTTATCGTTAAATTCAAATCTAACATATCTTACATATTATACATTACTATGGTCTATGATATACTCAACAACAACAGTACAACAGAGTGGTACCAATTTGTCCACATTTTTATATTTACATACGAATTAAGCCTATTTAACTTATTTATTTATTTTTAACAAAATCAATGGACCATAATTTATCAATTAACTATTCGCACTTATTACTACAGATAAATTGAACATTTAAGAATAAAAGTAATAAATATTTTATATTAATGAATCTTTAGAGGAAAACGATTAAAATAACCATAGTTAAATGTACATTTAAAGTATATATTTAATAATTGTGTAATGAATGATAATATAGATAAGTTAGATAAGTCATTTGATATAAGAATAAATGTTTTAACTGATATCAACGATTTTACCTCATATTTCGTAAATCAGAATGTTTTCACTGTGTTTCATTTAAATATTATATCAATTACTAACATTTTAACTACTTATTAGTTTTGTTAAACAGTAACTTTAATTTTATTGATTTCATAAAACTGACTGAATTTTGGCTAAAAATGGTGTCATTTTGAGATTGATGGTCTTACTTCTTGTATGACTTTGGAGAATAATTTTGACCAAATAAGTGGTATTGTAGTACTTACTACTTATTAATAATAAAGATAAAATAAATAATGTCACTGAAATCTTTATGGATGATTATAATTATTTTTAGTGTTAAGTTTAGGTAGTTATGAGGATGATATGTATAGGTCCGATATCCCGATGAATAATCGATATGTATAGAGTGCATAATAATAGTGTCACGATCTTCAAAATTCAGCTTCAACTTTCAAGTTTTAAGGAGTAATATTTAGGCAATTTGTATGACATGTGAGTAGGAAATGAACATTAGTGTGTGTAATTGTTGTCGTGTGATGCCCGCGGATGCAACTCTCACACACTTAAGAACATGTCAATATATATTTAAGCGAAAAATGAAATATATTTTTGTTTTTATTACTTTATAAAAACTACAAAAAGGCAGATGAAGCTGCTAGAAATGCAATCAATAGTCCAGACAATGAAATAATTCGTTTTTCCTTATTCGTAGATATAAAAAGAAATATAAACAAATACTGTATAGATCTGTAGAAGTCACATTGGCACACGACCATGAAAAATAAATTAAGAGAATTCGAGCACTTTGTTGAACTGTTACCGAAATACACTGATCTATAAACAGAAAAAATGAGGTAATTTTTAATCGCCTCAGAATTGGTCACATGAAACTCACAAACTGACATCTTATGGCAAAAACAGATCCATCCCTATGTCCAACACTCCAACATGTAATACAAGCTACTCCATCAAACATATCATCATTCACTTTCAACATTTCAGGCAACCTGTACGAAGCAATTGGTCCATTTTAAAACTTTCAAAACATAAATTTATACATATAAAAAATTAAATTGTATAATAGCATATAACCTTCAATGTTAAAACATAACACTTGTTAAGCTAATAACCTGTGTATAGTTGATACTTAACCAATAAAGAAAAAGTTTCTAAAGCAGTAGCAAATTAAAAATACTTCAGAAGTTCGATTGTAATTTTGAAAAAATGGTTGAATTTAGGACTTGCTTATTTTGATTTCAAACCAGACGTTATTAAAATAAGTACAAATTATGAAATACAATTATTACAAATGATTTTTATAAGTACACATTTGTAGGTAAATTAATATTACATTTTATCCACACAATAAATGTTTTAAATGAAAGCTTTTCGACAAACATGAATTTAACCTGATGTAGTACTAATGCCTCGCAGTAAAATAAATCACTTTAATCCCAATCATGTCATAAAATATACTTAATTATAGCAATATATAAACTGACAGACCGTCTTAGTTCAGAATCATTGTTTCGTATTCAACGATTTTATATTACATCCGAATTTAACACAAATATCACAGTGACTCTCTCGACACCTAATCTACAGCAGAGCGTCACCCACTTACCCGCTCACAATGGCCTCACGGCACTTTTGAAAACTACTGAAAATTTTTAATTCTGACTACCCGAATGCACCAACTAGATTCACTTTCCCAGTTTCCCCCCAAAAAAGATGCTGAAATTGAGAAACGAAACACAATTTCGACTACTTATCGTGTACACGATATCATGTTAATAAAATAATAAAATAAACGAAAAAAAATGCATTTAATAATAGCCTAAAAATATAACATAAAAATACTGTCGATATATCAAAATAATATTAACTTTTATATTACATATAACTACACTCTCAGTTTGATATCTATTGCTATCTTAGGAATATTTACTATTCTTATATCATGTGGATCTAAAAAATATTTATCATACAAATATGTACAATTAGACATTTCTAGGATATTAAATATGTCTAAAAAGGAAACATTTATTACATAAAAATAAAAATGATCACATTATCTTTTAAAATTAATATGTCTTTATTAATTTAAGCAACTGAATATAGTTCACAATATCAATGAGCCATTTTCCAATAATTTATATTAATTCATCGTCTGTAGATGCTTTAAATATTTTGTATATCCTCATAGCAAATTTAAATTATATAATAAAGTATCTATTAATATTATAAAAACCTACATGGTTATCATATGTTTAACGAAAATTGCTGTGTTTGTGAGCAATGAAGAAAAATTATGTTCGCTTATCAAGCCGAAGTAAGTAAATTGCTTTAAAAGTGAGTCTCCAAACATTTTTTTCATCATAATGACCAACATGTCCTTAACAAATTGTCCTTTTATTGATCCAAGGATTATAAAATATGATTGTTTTATGAAATTGCAAATATTTTATTTGTATCCGTAGGCTCGCCGACATTATTAAATCATTTTAATTTAATTTTGAGGAATTAATTAGCATCAATTAGACGTAAACGTTTAATTTACTAAGAAAAGATTAAACAAACTGATATGATGGGTTTCTCATCGGTAACTGCTATTATTAAAGTTTCAATTTCAATTATTAATTTTATGATTTATTATTATTTTCGCGATATAAATGAGTAATTACTTGTAATCTCTGTGATTATTTTATTTGTAGCCATTCATTAAATAAACCAAATTTACTAAAATACTTGAAATTTCATAAAAAATCATAAAATTCTAGTACGATTGTTGAAAAATTCAATAATTTTAATCGAAACTTTAACTTGTTATCATTTAGACAATTTTAATTTTAGAGCCATGGTGAAAAGGTCCAAATTGAATTAAAAAAATTCGGTCCATCTAAATTTGGTATTAAAAACTCCTGTTGCCATTTAAAAAAATGCAAGTTGTATTGTGCATGCACACACTGAAAGATCTAAAAATGTAAAAATCATCAAGTAATGTGTATTTATGTATTCCCTATCTCCTCTCGAAAACCGCATATCAATCTGAAGTCACTGGACAGAATTATTTAGTGTTACCTTTAAAAAGAAATTCACTTTATATATATATATATATGTTCTATAGATACATGAAAATAAATTTTAAATTGGTAAAAATGAAATTATTTTTATATTACACAAATGTATACATAATCAAAATGTTCCTGAACACTGTTATTGAAAA